TACAAACATCCAACCTTGTTATTAGCAGATATTTAGTTTAATAATTTATTTTGTTTCACACCAGGTAACTAAGAAGAGAAGAAGAACCCCACTCATGTTGGCAGAAACAATTGATGCTGGTCTTCTACGTACAGCTGCTGAGAGAAAGAACGATCAACAGATACTCATGCAAATCCAGGGGAAAGACTGTGTATCTCTGGAAATCCACTATCACAAAGTTTGCTACTGCAATTATACAATATTTTTCGCCAGAGAGACGAAGAAGCAACGAGAGTATCAGTGTACGAGAAGTTTTATGATGTATTCTGTAAGAAAGTACTGATTGAGATGGAGGTCATCGGAAATAAGCAAATAAAGTATATGAAAGATTTGCTGGAGAAATTTGTTATCATTGCTAAGGACACTGAGAATGTGGATGCATCTAGATATAGAGCTTTTAAACTCAAGCAACGACTGATGAAAAGTTATCCCCAACTTGTGTTCTGTGTACCAAAAATGAGAAATGTTAGTGAGATTGTATATGTGGAAAATTTGGATTCTTCTGAATTGGTTGAGGAACATATGTCAATTAAGGGCCTGTTTATGTGGAAGCCGGGCTGGCCCACTTAGCGAGGCAGCCTGGTAAGCGGGATGAATTTCTCTTGTGTTTATATGAGAAACTTTCATCCCGCTTGCCGGGACAATTTTGTTACATTGTATTGTTTTGACAGTTGTTAAAAATAGCTTGCGGCGGTATTTTTGAACTTTCATCCCAGCAACCGGGATAGCCCGCTTGTAAATGTTTATATGGAGACATTTCCATCCCGGTAAGCGAGATCTAGCCTGAGTAGCCTCTTTCAAACGAGATCTCGGCAACCGGGCCAGCCCGCTTGTCCATATAAACGCATGATAATTTTTACTATGAAAATAACTACACAGCGAGATCTTGCTTACCGGGCCAGCCCGACTTCCATATAAACAGGCCCTGAAAACAATGAGGACTTTGATGAAGAGAGCTGTACCATTGATGATGATGATGTGAATTCCAACACAGAAACTGAGGGAAATTCTAAAGTCAATGAGTTACAAATTCTATACAATGCTTGATTATTCAGCAAAAGGTGCAAGAAGTACCAAAACTGAATCTTCCCTGGCCACCATTGGCATCTGATTTGACAAGGGATAATATTTCAAATCCAACTATGAGGACTGGACTAGATTTCAAGTCCACACAATTTGATCACGTCCGAGGCGAATCAGAGGACTGGATCAAAATGTGAGGACTTGAAATCTAGTCCAGTCCGAAGTGGAGGATTTGAAATGACATCTCATACGAATAAATCACTACTTAATTAATTTTGATCCTGTCCAAGGACTGAATTAATTTTAATCCAGTCCAAGGGCACTACAGGATCAATATACTTCATAAAGTATCTAGTATTATCATGTGAGCAAAATAAAGCAATATGGTTGGCTAATTTGCTCATGAATTATTAATGATTTGAGGTGAACAATGATGGTAATGCATGTAGGTATTATCAGTGGAGTAGATCAGTATTTATATTTACTTATTCGATATTCTCATTCGGATACACAGTATTTATATTATCAACACATATATCCCTCTCATGGACAGGGTTAACAGTATGGTCATGTCTGAGAAGCTAAAATGCACCCTGGTGGAGGAGCTGAAACTCACAGCAGCAAATCTATAAGAAAAAGTCAACTAGTATGGACACGAAAAACCAGGCTGAATCGTTCCTTGTTATTCTAGATAGTGGCTAAATACCAACTAATGTCACAATATAAATATAATACATGTAATAGTTCAAATAGGAGAAGTAGAACTTTACCAGACAAAAGCCAGGACAGCTTATTGCAGAATACATGCAATCTCGTTTTGAGCATGCAAGCCCTTGACCAGGATCCAATAAGTGGGATTTTATTGCTCTGATGAAAATCTGGGTTCAAAGATGAAAACATTTCTTTCAATTATAGATAGCTACAATGTTTTGTAAATGTTAATGAATTTTATATTTCCTCCCAATTTATCTTTTTTTATGATGAATTTCGAGTTTATATAAATATCCCTTAAAGCCCGGGACGAACTGGGAAACACTGTTGTCATATTATTTGTCTTTCCAATCTTTCGGTATGTCATATTGTCTTATCAGCGTCGGCAAACAGATAAAGAGTGTTTCATAAAATGCTTCTGAAATCTGAATTTGGTAGGAAATAATTTGCTTTCTGGGAAGCAAATTTTGCGTCTGCAATAAAAACCAATTAAAAATCACGAATATTTCCGCGACATTGTTTCTTACGTTTGGCCAAGGCTTTAAGTTTAGCGAAATATTTCATTTGTTCCTTGATCGTGTGAATTGTATGTATATATACTTTTTATTTCTTCGTCCTGTTTGATACAGGTGGCTTTTTTACCTCATACAAATTTGTATTGAATTAGAATGTTAATATAAAGTAGAATTAACAATAACCAATGAATTGAAGTGATTTAGCATATGAGCAAGCAAAATATACAGTGTGTTTTTAACAATATTTAATGTGGGTGTATTTATATTACAAGGTTTGATCAGTATTCCGTGATTTTATTTTGTTGTTTTTGCGGAGGAAATCGGGGAAACCCCCCCAGTGAGAATCTATTTTTATAGTCTGCGCGTGCGCAGTGCGAGTTTGGCTGAGTTGCGCATGCGTATTTGCTACCAAAATAATGGCGGTTCGAATATTTCGAAGCGCGAAAATATCAAACTTTGGAGGGATTTTTCTCCCAATTGTGCACCTGTTTCACTTGGGGAGCAACGGATTCTGATAAAGTAAGTTTTTATCTATTTATTCATGTGAAAATTACGTAGTTCCACGAGGGGTGCAACGGAATTGCATCTTTTGGATGCTCATCCCACGGCCTAAATCTATTACATGTAGTTGCGTGTTTTTGTACACGAAATAGACCAGAATTTGAGCCTCTAGAAAACCTCGGCAAGAAACGCGTGCATGTTTTGCGCGACAGGCTGATAGCGCGTCTACCGACGTGACGAAACTCACACCAGCACTCGTACGCAATCTTGTTTGCATCTGTACTATATCTACTGTAACCCTATAAAGCAGTGCAGTCAGTTTTTATGCATTTACTATGCATGCTGGAAGTGGTCTGCAATTCTCCCATCCCAGCATGCCAAATATCATCTGACTATCCAACGATATGCTACTGCTCGAAGATATCTAAATAATCAAACAGTGAGTCGTTAATTTCATGTTTGCAAATACTACTAAAGAAGTTACTTATGTATGGTCAGAATATATATAAGATTTGCCTACCAAAACCCAAGGCTAAGTCAAGTCACTGTTATTACCCATTAGTATATTTTATTCTAATATATACATATAAAAAGATAAATTATAGACATACTGTATAACAAAGAATACAAGATATCGTTTAGAATACAAATATATACAAGAAATAGTGATATTTAATTATCTTGGGTTCTGCTTGTTGGTTTATGATACTTTTTCCCTGACTTTATATCAGAGAAAAGCCCATGCGTCTCGTAGGTTACTGTTCGATGGGTGACGACTATTATCATATTACAACATATAGGCTAACATAACACTTGCAGAACTAGTATGGTTCGATGCTGAATTAATATAAACGAGTATGTTTATGACATTCAGTATATAGTTCATAATTTCCAGTCTTATCCGTCTGACCGTGTAGCTCAGTTGGTAGAGCGTCGATCTAGTAATTCGAAGGTCGCGGGTTCAAGACCCAGCCGCGCCAGACAATATCTTTCTGCTTGGCCAGTTGCGCTGGGTATGGAAATTATGAAATACACACTCGAGAACATTTTCAACTTTTCAACTTAGTGCATAATCCCACTGCTGTGTGATGCATTCTGCGTCCTTGTCCTCGAACGTAAATTTGTCAATGCACTCCAAAATTTCCTTACAGCATCTATATTTTCTAGCGTCCTGCAATAATTCGTCGCTACAGTGTCCACATGAGCACCTTAAAATAAACTCGCATATCAGACGAAACAGGGTAATAAATAGTCGAGGAACGGGTTAATATAATATTACTTTTATAACTTTACTTACCATGAATTAACAGCTATACATTTTTCTTAAATCTCGCCTCAAGAGTTTCACGAAGAATGCCGTCTTCGTCTGTTTGATCTTCCTCGTAGTCACTATATGCGACTAGCTCAAATTGATATGGCTGAACAACAGACGATTGTTCAGCGATGTCCTCATTATCTGTTGACCCTTCTGTCTCTGTATGTGATTCAAAGCTTTCGTTATCGCACATTTTTATAGCGAAATATAAAGGCAACTGTCTGATGTTCGTGTTATTTTGTTGTTTTCGTATAGTGAAACACTTCGGCGTGTCATACTGCATACGTCACAAGGCCCGGAACTCTAGGTACCAGTCTTTCGCCAGTAGATAGTCGAAAAAGCGAACTTTAATCGTAAAATTAACAAACTTCTGGTTCAAATTTTTCAACAAGGTTTGTATTTTTATGATCGCAAAAGACCAAATTTTCAGAAAATGCAAAAAAACCGATATCGAAATTTTCATTTCATATACACTTTAATAAAGGGTGATGAACGAAATCGTGGGCGATGGAAAATTGGCATCGTAGACAAGCTGATAAAGGGCAGAGACGGAATTGTGAGAGCAGTACGATTGCGAGCTGGTAAGTCGTTCCTGGAACGTGCCATACAACAGTTGTATCCGATGGAGTTATCGTGCGACAGAGCAAGCCAGAAGAAACTGGATGCAACAGTTAAAGAATTCACACCAAAACGACGTGCAGCAAAGATAGCGAAAGAGAACATTCGTCTATTTGCTGAAGAAGAAGAGGAAGAACATTAGCATGGAACATTTAGCAGTTATGGGTTAATACTGAACAGTTACGTCCGTATTAGGACTATTATGACGTTGAAGTTGACTTTATCATATAACCGTAAATATATTTACCTTTGGACTAGCCAAAGTATTAAATAGGGGGAGAGTGGGGGAAAGTGTAGGGATATAGACGGACAAGTGATAATTCAAGTTGATATCTAGAGATAGAGACGGACAGGACATTATAAATGTGGATATGTAGGGATAAATATGGTTAGTAGGGTTATAAAAACACGTGTGAGAATCCAAGATGGCGGAACGTTGTTGTTTTTCGAGAGCATTTATTTAGTATAAAATTAGCATGTTTTAGATATTAAAAAGGAATAGAACCAATCGTAGGTCTTTATTGTCGTCTCTTAAAGCGATTATCGACACGTGTACTGACCCAAGTCTAGCTCGATTAGACAAATTTGGGTAACGTTTGTTTAGACCCAATTCACAACTTTATATAACACACATGCCTAGTTACTATGGTTCTAGATTACAAAAGCATAAACTAGAACAAAGGTAACTAACTCTTATTGTTATATAGTCTTATAACTCTTATTGTTAGTTAGTGTCAAAGTTAAATTTTTCTATTTGCCGATTAGTCAAAACCGTAATAAAAAATAATAAAATGGGTGCAATACGCATGCGTGTCAACCGCGAAGTTTCAAAGTTCATTTTTTAAACTTTTTATTTACGGCGTTCCATTTATCCAGTTTTGGTTTCAAATTAAGTTCACTCCAATAATCGGTGAATTATTCATACTTTAACACTTATACACTATCTATAAGTGGCTCTGGTCCACAAAACACACTGTTTCCCTCGATCTCAGTAAATATAAAGTGATAATACATAAGTTTAATGTTTAATTACTTTTGTTCTATTCAGTCTATGCTTCTGTAAACTAGAATAATAGTAACTAGGCATGTGAGTTATCCAAAGCTGTGAATTGGGTAGCAACGATGTAAACAACGTTAGCCAAATTTGTCTATTGGCTTCATTTTTATATAAGTCTATCCACTGATCTCATATTGACAGGATAGACCCAATTGAAAATGAAACTAATCTAATAACAGACTGGATAGTCATGTTTGTCAGCTGTTCCTGGGTAGGTAAAAGTGCCCTGCTCTGGCAAGTATAAGTTCACTCTCGTTGATGGTAAGCCTCGTGAGGTGGCAACTGCTGGGGTGAGTACAAATGTCTGCATTTTACACTCCCCAATTTGTGCAACTTTCTGTATTCCCCGGCTTTCTCCACATGCAAAATTCCCCAGGCCAGCAAAAGAACAGTTCTTTTCCATGACTCAAGCATGCACAAAGTAAAAATAGGAGCTGCTATCAAAAATAACTGGCAAGCTAGTGTTGCAGTTCAGCATGAGCTCCACCTTTGAATTTTTTAATATGAGTAAATTCTTAAACACGTCCGAAATTATCATTATGATAAATTCGCAGCACATTTTGAATTTATCATAATAATAAATTCGCGGCACTAACCCCTAACCACTAATCCCCTAACTCCTAACCAGTAATCCCTAGCTCCTAACCCTAACTTTTTTAACCGTTTTAAATTTTTTTAACTTTTGTAAAAATCTAACTTTTTAAACTTTTTTGCTTTTTAAAACTCTTTAAAACTTTTTTAAAAACTATTTTTTTGAAAATCTCTGTCTAATACTGCACTATTTCTGTTATTGTAGCGGTTAACAAATTATAGTGATCTACAGTCCGTATGTTAACAAAGCCTTTGTTTACATTTTTGCGTCCAAAATATTGAGCTTTATTCGACAACTATTTTTATTTTCAAGCTTCTAGAGTATAATAAAGGATCAAGAAACAACAATCAGGCTTTGCAAGAACCCAAAACATAGTTAAACTGTTTGTATCATAAAAAGTGGGCTCCTTTGTGCACATGCGCAGATCGGACTGTAGATCACCTTTAAATTTCAAAACTTTTATGTGTTCATATGCAGTGAATCAAACGAAAAATGCATCCTTTGTTAAAATTATTTAAAATATTACAAAAATAAAAAAACAACTAAATTTTATCGCCATATTTCTCCATAATTCGGCAACCGCTACAATAATGCAAAAGTCAAAACAAAATAGTAAATGACAACAGACTACAAAAGCGGAAGTGGGAAGGTTGTAGTATTTTGACTGCAATCATGTACAAAAATATGTTGCATCCATGCTGCAAGAATTAATGTCCGACCTTTCCGGCAAAATTTCCATTTACAGGGACAGAAATAGATTACGAGACGAGTTGAATAAAAAAGTTAAAGAACCGAACACTTTTCATACACAGCCAGAGAGGCAGAGATACTGACAGCTTTGAAATTTGCTACAACCACAGAAAGTACTGCCCGATTATACCTTAAAAAGATATTTAACAGTTGTGAAATTATTCATGCGAATAAGCCAAGAATGGTTAAGGTTGTATTTTTAATGTTTTTATGTTGTGAATTAGAACCTGGATAATAAACCAGCTTATTTAACTTTTTAATTATTACTAGTGTCGCTGATCAGCGAACACGCGAATGTAAACAAACAGCTAAAAATAGACCCAATTTGGAGATTTATAACTTTTCAGAAAATTGCGTGCAGACGAGTTTTATTCCTGATTACTTAACTTTAGTAGGTATACTTTCAAATTACATGCCTTTTGAACTTCAGATAGGTGCCACTTTTGAGCTATTTTAAGTAAAATATGAGCAATTTTCAGCCTCTCGTCGCCATCTTGAAAACATAGTTTCGTAAAACTATAAAAAAAATCGTATTAAGCAAATAAAGTTGTTCAATCTCCATGTAAACGAGAGTATTAGAGTTAATCTTGCATGTGAACAGTAACTGGAGGGGATAAACGCAACACAACGTTTTTAAAAAATCAGATGAATTCTTGTAAAATTCCCCTTCATTTCCGGTCTGAAAATATTCTCGCAAGGTCAAATTTCAACATGGCTATAACTCCTATAAAACAGAAAGTTGAATCGTTCTGAAAGAAGCTCGATTAATATTGACCAAAGTATAGTTCATATGCAAAATATGAGCTAAATCTATTTTCCCTTCCCCAAACCAGCGGGTGGATTTTACTGAGAGGCCCTCTTAACTGTTGTTAACTTTAACCATAGTTTAACCACCTTTGTATACAACCGGCCCTTTAGTCTCCATTAGCGAAATACAGATAGTGCAATTCAGGGCGAAGGGTGAGAGGGCGTGGAAACGCCAATACATCGAGCGTCCCCATCCGTGATGCGGGCTTCGCGGGGGGTTAGACGTTCTAATTGTAAACAAATATGGCTACGCGTATATGACCCATCAGAAGGTATGCTGAAACTATTGTTTTATAAAATATTACTTGTGCAGTTTTTGTTACTTTTAGCTATTATAGGAAACTTAAAGATAAGATTTAAGTAACGAAAAACTTTATTTCGGGTATTATTTTATTTCTATACTCTGTTTAATTTGGTGTTTAAAAATGGCCGTCGAAATGTTGTAAGGGAAAGTACATTTATTACACCGAGGGAGGGGGATGAAGATGTCTTGAAAAAAGCTCATATTTTTACAGGGCCCCTGTTGAGGTTATCGGTAAATTTCGATGCCCCCCCTCCAAGTTTTTAAAATTTTCAATATCCCCCCCCCCCTCTAGAATTCGGAATCGAAGGAGTACAATCCGGAATTCTCTCTTATCATAGATACAATTTGCAGTTCCTCAAGATGTCTGATATACTCAAGCATGTGCTTCTGAACAAAATTACCGATCTGCTGCTTCTTTCACCTCACTAGCATATGAAATGGCACCGTCTTTAAAACATTTTAAATTGGCTCTAGGGGTGAAATTACCAACAGGTTGTTGTTGTCCATCATTCAGTGTATTCGGAGTCTTGAACACGTTCATGTAGTGGCCAGGATTTCCTGGATCAGGGTAATGTGCTGGAACCTTACAGTATGTCGCCCCCACCCAACGTATCTCCTGGCATCTGTTGCAAATGTCTTTGTATGCCTGTCAAAAATGCATGCAAAAGTGCCAGTATGCTTCAATTTCTTTAATTTCCATCCTGTTTGTACGAAATATCCCATAAACATAGAACATATCATTCTTGCAAATCGTATATGCTTTTTTGTTTTTGGAACTGCTACTTTTTGGCGCGTAAATTACTTCACAAACCTGGCGCCAAAAAATTTAAAATAAGCTATAGGTGATTTCATGTATCCATTTAGAAGAGCAGACTAAGGATATCTTAAAACTGAAATCGGTTTCGAATACAAACATCAGGGACGTAGCAAAGCATCTGACGTTTGGGGGGGGGGGGATATCAGAGGATTATACGTGTAATAATTATAATAAAGCTTTTTGCATAATTGTTATTGATTGGCACTCTCATACAGGGCCGTAGCTAAGCATGCATAGTTGGGGGGAGCTGTAGGCCAAAAATTTCCGAACGACGAAAGAAATTTCCGAATATTTCATGGCATACGAAGCCACGAAGGTGTTTGCTATCCGGAAAATGAAAACACAATTTACAAACAAAAATACTCATATTTTACCCACAGACATATTACAGAAGCGTGCAGTTCTGTAGAAAGATCTTTTTGATAAGGGAGTGGCGAGGGCCGAAGGCCCGAGGAAATTTTTTAATTTAGAGTCTCTGAAATGCCATTTCGTGGACTTTGGGGGAAGTTTTGACAGAATTCTGATGGTCAGAAAACAGAGTTTTAGCACGTCGAAATTTACAATTAATTTGCTTACAATTTAGAAGAACTAAATGGGCGAACAATTTAGAAGAACTAAATGGGCGAAGGCGTATATGGGTAATATGATTCTTTGCGGTTTGTCATGGGTAATGTAGCCGCTTAAAATTAATCAATTGTCAGTATTTTAAAGATATATTGAGGGCTGCCCCCTCCCCCCGGTTGCTACGGCCCTGGGAAGTAATAAACCGAAAAACATTTACCAATCTACGATTTGTTAAATGTTATCCATGTGTAAATGCCGCGATTTTGTAAATCAGTTTATGATACTGACAATACAATTTTATAATATTCTCTCTGTTTATTATAAACAACAAAAATTTTGTTATACTATTACTGCCGTAATTTTCCGAATGACCAACCTGATTTTCCGAATATGTTAATTCTAAAAAAGTTGGGTGGTTAACCACCCCCCCCCCCAATACCCCCCTTTGCTACGGCCCTGCAGTCTCATACTAAGTTTTGGGAGAAAAGGTGGGTCTGGGGGTCCTCCCCAGAAAATTTTTACATTTTTGAAGCTCTAGGACTGAATTTCTGGCGTTTTCTAAGGCAAATTTCGCAAACAAATTGCATGTAAATATTTTAACTTTAATTTGCTGAGGTCAAACCTTTGAAAAGTTTAGAGCCCCCCCTTCAGTTTATCAAGAACTTTAAGAGCCCCCCCTTTAATGCCAGAAAATATTTCGGAGCCCCCCCTTAACATCTTCATCCCCCCCCCTCGGCATAATAAATGTACTTTCCCTAAGAGAGCGTTATGCATGAGTCAATTCCAGGAGTAACCATCCCCCCTCCCCCCCCCCGGGAACACACCCGGGAATTTGATTTGATTGGTTATGATAGTGTAAATGCCCGGGTGCCGGGACACAACTTGAAGACTAATGCACGGCCCCTGCGCAAGCTGAGAGTGGAAAATGCCCCACCCCGGGGACGATTTTACAGTCGATTTCACGAAACTTTGACCACAAATGTTCCGAACTTCGTTGCGAAGTTCGCAAGTTCGTTGCGAACTTCGAATTTAAATTTGCATGGCACAGGGTATAATTTTCGCTTATTCTTACAATAAATTTCACGCCACCTTGACCACGAGGGCGCAAAATACGATCAGCGCGCCCACATGCTTGCCTGAAACTATGTTTTGCTGCCTTAAAATTTGTGGGTGGGATTCTGGGCAACCATTTGTCAAATCCCCGGGGTCCTCCAATACCCGGCCCCCGTGCACATATATGAAAGGCAAATTCCCGACTCCCGTGAACTGTCTATCGGGCAAATTCCCGGGGGTGTCCCGGGGGGGGGATGGTTACTCCAGGAATTGACTCATGCATTAGTGCGCACTGCTTCCTGATAAAAACCCAATGATTTCCAAAACCTAAATTATAATTTGTTATTAAGTTATGATGAAAACCTTTGCGTAGACAAAATTATAGAGTGATCAAATATGAGACAGATAGGTTTTGAACCTTTCAAAGTTCGATGTCGAATTGACAGTTGAAATAGTACCAAACTCCAAGCTGAAATGTGCAACTTTATCGTGTATATTTTTGTCAATTTTGTTTACTGGCCTTTGTTAAATTCACTTGCAATGGATCGACATAAGTTACAACATACAAACTGAGCAGAGCTCATGAAAAAGCTATCCATTCCCCTACAGTCATTCAGCTTCCTTGCTATTTAGAAATGCATGGTTGCCCATTAGTCGAAGAAGAATTGCTATTGTATGCGCTTGTTTGCACTCCTTTCCTGAAAAAGGCTACAATATTAAGGCGAAATAGCAGAGAAATATGACCCAATAATCCATGCAATTAAAAATATCTATCAAATTAACTTCAAAAATCATGATTTGAGGAATTATATCTATTCAGGCAACCCATA